TACTCAGGAGACTGAAAAATGGTGATTCCAAGTGCAACTGGTTGCATTAGCAAGACCCTGTCTCAAAAGTGAAAATAATGCTTTTTTTAAAAGCTAGTTGGGGTTAGGAATGTGGCTCTATTAGTAGAATGCTTGCCTATACACACAACACACACACAAAACAAAACAAAACAAAACAAAACATCCCTGAGTTCAGTGCCCAGCACCATATAAATGGACACAGTGGCACACATATGTAATCCTAGCATTTAGGAGGTAAAGACAGGAGGATTTGAAGTACAAGGCTATCCTCAGCTACACAGTGAGGCCAGCTGGGACTGCATAAGACCCTATCACAAAAAGGAGAGAAGGGGACCTGAGAATATAGTTTATCCATCGGTAGAGACAGTGCCTATTATACTCCAAATCCTAAATTTAGTTCTCTCTCTCTCTCTCTCTCTCTCTCTCTCTCTCTCTCTCTCTCTCTCTCTCACACACACACACACACACACACACACACACACACACACAAAAGCATGCCTCAACTCTCCCTCCCTTGTAGTTAATATTTTCAATCACTTGCTTTTGTTTCTCTCTACCCTCACCCACCCACTCTGCTCCCATCTGCCCATCAAATACACATTGTCTACCTCTTGCCAAGTGCAGCACCATGTGACAGAGAGACAACTGTGCTCAAAGTAAGCAGAAACTAGGACCTCACGGAACCAACCAATAACCTCATAAAGGAGTAGACATGTGACCTGACCATTACAGCGTGGCTGGCTATTATAAAAGTGAATTTACTCACAATGTGTTGGTGACCAAAGGAAAGATGGGTCTGCATCTGGAGGTAGGAGTGGGAGGTGTCATGGACAGTAGACAAAAGAAGTGACCCTAGGTAGTCCCAGGAGAATGGGGACAGGAACAGAGTTGGCAGAAGGAAGGACACCGCTGCATTCTGGATGGAGGGAGAAACTTGGGCTAAGTCACAAAGGCTCAGGAGTCTGAAACATCACTAGGAAAGGAGTCACAGCAAGGACAGAGATGGGAGCCGATCTGAATCAGGGAGAACAGGAGGACTCTTCTAGAGTGAGGTGAAGGGTGCTTGGGAGTCCCTGAACATCCATGTTTGAAGATCCTAAAAGATACAAAGTGATTCAATGCAGAAGAAAAAGTCCACCCCTAACAGCACGAAGGAGGAAGATTTGCTTCTGTTCACCATCTCAGTATTAGGTGAGTTGGCTCCGTTGTCTCTGAGCCTGAATGTCAGAATGTCAAAGCATCACAGTGAGATAGTCATCACGGTAAGGAGTGGACCCAAGTATAAAGCTGCTCATCTCATCATCAGGCTGCAGAAAGAGAAGGGGAGAGGAATACCACGAGTTGGGTATCTTCAATGTATGGGTTTGGGGGGGAACATCCCAGATCAAAAAATTGGTCTGATTTGAATATGAAATGTCTCCCCATAGAACTCATGAGTTTAAATGCTTGGTCACCAGCTGGCAGTGTAGCTAAAGTTTTCCTGGTCCCACCTGGCTCCTGTGGTCCATCACTCCTGCAGCTGCTCAGACCCAAATGAACACACAGGGGCTTATAGTAATTATGAACTGTATGGCCTAATGGCTCAGGCTTCTTGCTAGCTAGATCTTACATCTTAAATTAACCCATTTCTATAAATCTATACCTTGCCACATGGCTCGTGGCTTACCAGTATCTTACATCTTGCTTCTCATGGTGGCAGCTGGCAGTGTCTCTCTCCTCAGCCTTCCTATTCCCAGAATTCTCTTCTCTCTTGTCCCACTTATACTTCCTGCCTGGCTACTGGCCAATCAGCACTTTATTTATTAACCAATCAGAGCAACACATTCACAGCATACAGAGCAATATCCACAGCACTTCCCCTTTTCTTTTTTTTCAAAAAGTAAGGTTTTAACTTTAGCATAGTAAAATTACATATAGCAAAACAATTATTAAGCAAGAATTACAGTTACAATATCAAGCCTTTTATAATATCTAGTCTATTTGTATTTGGCATCTATATCTGACATATCTTTTATCATAACTAAGGAAATTATAACTATCTAGTCTTCAACTACATCAAAGACCTCAGAAGGATATAATATTACCTAAGAAATGGGAGAAGGATGCAAGCAAGTTTCGGGAATCTTGCAAGAGTAGACAGAGACAGCTGGCAGCCTGGACAGTCATCCAAAGTTTCTCTGTAAAGTTGGGGCATCTGTCTTCAGCCCACAGGCCTAGAGTCTCTCAGTCACTTCTCTCTGTGTCCTATAGAATGTCTGGCAGTTTTCTCTGCAAAGCAGAAACCTGAAGGACCATTTCACCAAGCAAAGTTCAGTGGTCACCTTCCTATGGGTCCTGCATGTCCAGTAGATACATCATTTTGTCAAGCAGTCTAGGCAAGAACAGTTTCTTGCCCAAATGACTATTTTTGGCAAGAAGAAGATAAACTCCATAACGAATGTCTTCAATGCCCATCCTCCTCTCTGAAGTAAATCAGTGCTGCCAGGAGCAGACACATCCCACTGTCCAGAAAGTCTAAATTTTTAAAACATTTTAAACGCTGTACTCTGTAAGTCTTTGAAGTGTTTGAAGATTACCTACCTAATTGAATTATATCTATGTATACATAGAAAACTTAACTTGACTATAAGTTTGACTATCATAGAAGACTAATTACTAACCTGTATTTTTTAATTATCCATTACAATCTAAATGAGTTACATAAACATAATACCTCAAATGAGAATAGAAATATATATAGTATAACAAAATTAATTTTAAACTTGTGTCAATAAACTAAAATCCATAGCAATGTAAAACATTTCTAGACAAGTTGTTGCTCTTTAAAAATAGTTCATTAATCTACCCTTTCATCCTATCATATCTATACTATCCCCTTTTCTTCTTTAGAAAGAGATTGCATTTATAATCAACCTGTTTTAAATAAAAACGATGGTTTTTCTCTGTCCCACACCAGAGAGCTCTTCTGATATGGAACAGAAGACTCTCTCAACCTTTTCTTTTAGCAATATGCTTGGATTTAGAGAAGGAATGAGCCAATTCCACCTCCAAAGCCAACTTGGTATATTTGGGAATTTGGGCTATCTTCTCATACTACTTCCTGCTGGATGAGGGCACTATATTCTTATGGGGACACAAAGAAAATTTTAGGATTATGGAGTAGTCTGTGAGGCTGTATTGTCTGAGCCAGTTGCCTTGAAATCTTTCTGGATGTTGGATCATCTGAGCCATGGTTTCATCGGAGACCTTTCAGGGGGTCTTGGCTGGTCGAACTTGATGTATCTTAATCTGGAACAAATCCATAGCCTCTTGCTTTCTGTGGAAACAAAAGCAGAGCCTCCTTTCCAAAGCAACATATCCTTAGATCCAAATTTTGAAGTCAAGGTGCCTTTAAAATATACAAATTGGTTTAACTGAACAGCCTTTATAATCAAATGTCTTTCTGTAGTTAAAAATATCAAAGAAACACAATCCAGATTTTCTGTGTAATATCCATCTTTACGTGGCTTATTTTTTATACTACTTTTACTTTCTCTTTAAAGACTTTATTTTTTAAAACTTTTTTTTTTACATAACTGTCTTTATTTATTTTCTTCCCTCTTCCAAGCCTACATACATTTTTACATACATTATAAACCATTTAGAAGTTTATCCCATCTGAATCTGTCTTATTGTGAATCTATTGCTTTAAACTGTAGTATTCTCTGCCCACCTCAGCTTCCCAACATGGCAGTGGTACATTTACCACCAGCTCTGGGTCTGGAAGCCATGTATACCATCAACTCTCAGAAGCAGTGGGTCTATGCTTCTATCAAAGCAGGGTGTAGCCCAGAAACCTCTTTTTTATTTGTCTGTACTAGCAAAGGCTAAATCCACCATGCAGTGTAATGTGTAGCTTGCAGACGCCTCATTCCCACCATGCTACAGGTCAAGCCCACATGCCACGAACCTGCCATAGAGTAACTCAAGCCCACAGGCTGTGGCTGTCTTGAGAGAGACAACTAGGAATCTGTTTTTAGCTCCATTTTAGAATCTTCTTTCTCAGGTTTTAGGTGAAAACTCTTGCCCCATGTTCTGGCACCATTTGTAGCCAAAGTTTTCCTGGTCCCACCCGGCACCTATGGTCCATCACTCCTGCAGCTGCTCAGACCCAAATGAATACACAGAGGCTTATCGTAATTACAAACTGTATGGCCTAATGGCTCAGGCTTCTTGCTAGCTAGATCTTACATCTTAAATTAACCCATTTCTATAAATTTATACCTTGCCACGTGGCTCATGGCTTACCAGTATCTTACATCTTGCTTCTCATGGCGGCAGCTGGCAGCATTTCCTGACTCAGCCTTCCTGTTCCCAGAATTCTCTTCTCTCTAGTCCCACCTATACTTCCTGCCTGACTACTGGCCAATCAGCACTTTATTTATTAACCAATCAGAGCAACACATTCACAGCATACAGAGTGATATCCTCAGCATGGCAGCTGTTTGGGAAGGTTCTGGAACTTTTAGCAGATGGAGCCTCACTGGAGGAAGTTGGTCATTGTGGTGAGTGTGGAGGTTAAATAGCCCTGCTCGGATGCCTGATGTTCATTTCCTGGTGACTGATGACTGATACAATGTGACCTGCCAGCCTCCCATTCTTGCTATTGCGACTTCCCTGTTGTAACGCACTGTATCCTCTCAAACTGTGAGCCAAAATGACTCCTTCCTTTCTAACACTGCTTCTCATCAGGTATTTGGTCATCGCAATAAGAAAAGTAACTAAAAAGTTACAACAGCTGGCATTACCATACCTCAGGACAGTGTGTTCACCCTCTCCCAGCAATGTCTTCTTCAAGAATCACCTCACTCTTCATGAAGTGAGAGGCCCCAGCTCAGTCTCTTCCTCACTTGACCACATACGGGGCGAGTCATTTGTAGGTCATTGGGTCATTCCAAATGCACTTTATGGTGGACTTTATATTTTTTGTCCACATTTAGGATTCCTCATGAGAAGAAAAAGGAGAACAAAAAGCACGAAGATCTTCCAGAAGGCCACCACTCACCCCATGGTCAGATGCTGCAGGATGTGGAGGGTGTCTGGAGTGCTGGCAGCAAGACTAAAGAGGCGGGAGAAGATGGGCCTGCAGAGGAAGGACCTTTGCTCAGCAAAATAGAGCCACACAAAGATGTGAAAGGTGGGAGCAGCCCAGCCCTGGTGTCCTCGTGGGCATAGGGGTTTAACCAAGACTCTGAAACTGGGGGCCCTGCCCAGGAGGAGGGCAAAGCTAGTGTCACAAGACAAGACCAAAACATATATAGTATGTAGTATTTTATATATATATATATATATATATATATATATATATATATATATATATAAATGTTATAATAGCAAGTCTGCTAAACTACTACCATCCATTGGGAAACTTTGGCTCAAAGATTCCACTTTCCATATTACTTGCTTTTGTCACTGTTCTGATTAAATGCCTGACAAGGACAGCCCAGGAATGGAAGGGTTTTATTTTCATATATTTATCTTTTAAAATATTTTTATTAATTCTTTGTGAATGTCATATGAATCTTTGCCATATTCACCCGAACTCCTCTCCCCAACTCTTCCCAGATCTACCTCTTCCAAATTTGTATCTTCCTTTTAAAAAAATAATCCATTGTGTCCAATTTTTGCAGTCTATCTACTCTTGAGTGTGTAGTGACCCACCAGAGCATGGTCAACCTACCAGGGGTCACATCCTTGAAGAAAGCTAACTTTTCCATCAGCCATCAATAGCTCCTCAGCTAGGGGTGGGACTTCATACCCACCTCCCCATTCCAGGCAGAGATTTTTGTCTGATCTGCCCTTGCACAGTTCCTGTGCATGCTGTCACAACTGCTGTGAGTTCATGTGTGAAACTTCCCTGTTGTGTCTAGAGAACACTGTTTCAATCTAGCCATCCAATGCCTGTCACTCTTACAACCTTCCTGTCTTCTCATCCTTGGTCATCCTTGAGCCTTGGGAGGAGGGATATAACATAGATGTCCCATTTAGGGCTAAGCACTTCAAACTGTGAACATTGACTGGGTATGGGTCTCTGCACTAATCACCATCTACTACAAAAAAAAGAAGAAGAAAAACCTTCTCTGGTGAAGGTTGATATATGCAGTATAGTGATAAGTTATTAGGAGTTGGTTTAATAGTGTGTCCACTTAGTAGAATAATAGTAGTATGTTCTCTTCCAGGGCCCATTACCTGTCTAGACACAGATTCTTAGCCTGGTAATGGTGCCCAGGTATGAGTTTCATCTTGAGAGTGGGACTTAAATCCAATCAGAAAGTGGCTGGTTACTCCCATGATGTTCATACCACTATTGCAGCAGTTATTATAGCTTACAGCATTCATAGCTTGGTAAGACTGATGGTTACTTTTCTCCTTGGTAGCATGTATAACACCTTTCAGTACTATAAAAGACAGTAGGGATGAAGCTTTCTTTTTTTTTTTTTTTTTTTTTTTTTTTTTGGTTTTTCGAGACAGGGTTTCTCTGTGTAGCTTTGCGCCTTTCCTGGAACTCACTTGGTAGCCCAGGCTGGCCTCGAACTCACAGAGATCCGCCTGGCTCTGCCTCCTGAGTGCTGGGATTAAAGGTGTGCACCACCACCGCCCAGCAAAGGGATGAAGCTTTCTTATAGTTTGTCTGTACCAATAACAGCGCCAGGCTTTTGTGGGGTAGGCCTCAGATCTTAAGATGCTGGTGCCACCACTGTACTGCTGAACATGTCTTGCAGGGCTGGTTGTTAATATCATTCAAAGGGTTCACAGCTGGTCAAGATTTTACTTAATGAAAACAATTCTCAGGGAGAGGATCTGACGGAAGCGTATGGAGCTTAGGCTTTGGGGATATGTTGACTTTGGCCAGGGGTCCACAACTCTTTGACCCTTACTTTGCTTTTGCATGTGTGGAGTTGGGTTCCTCCATGCTGAGTGGAGCTTCCAAACCTAGGGAGGTTCAGACCTGAATCCCAAAAACGTTCCCATAAAGAGAATGGCTACTAGCCAATGAGAGTTCTCTTCAAGACTGAAGAATGAATCTTGCCTAGCGCCAAAAGTCTTCAGAGCCATGGTGATGGTGCTGTAACGGATGCGCATAATGGCCGCTGAGATGGAGACACGTCACGCATGGCTCCTCCTTTCTCTACTCTTGCAAATTCTATTTTTTAATGAAGTGGGGTTTTGTTCGTTTATTTTTGAGACAATGGTTTCTATTTATTCATTTATGTATTTCTAGACATGGTCTCGTGGATCACAAGATGGCCCTTTTTCACTCACTGTATAACAGAGAATGTCCTTGAACTCCAGAGCCTCCTGCTTCCACTTCTAGAGTGCTAGGATGACAGCTACGTACCACCAGATCCAGTTTACTTTGGGGATCAAACTTTGGGCTCTCTGGACCCTAGGCAAGCACTCTAGCCACTGAAGTACCAAGTGAGCTACACCCCAGTTCCTCTAGCAGGTTTTCCTTTCTTCCTGCTTTTGTCTCTTCCTCTCAGCCTCACCTCTTATCTACCCACAGAATGACTTTAGCACCAAAGACAAGGACTTTCCACCCTGGAGTTTATCCACATTGCCTGAGCTGAGAGAGCTCCAGAGAGGCAAGCTGTCTTTACATTTTCATGTCTTTCCCTAGTTAAAAGACTCAAACTCTTGGCAAATGCATAATGGGTCAGCTAAGTGGGCCTTAATGACAGAGGGACAAGCCAGGAAGTATTTTAAGGTAGACAGCTGTCTGTGACCCTCATTTACAATCTGAAGGACAGAGGTCCCCTGGTCATGAACATGGAGCTAATAGTGCTCAAGAGATTGACAAAATGCATTTGCCAAATTCTCCCAATGACCTCCCGTGCCCCAGTCACCCAGAGTCCAGGGCGGGTTCACTTTCTGCACGCACTGCATACTTTTTGAAAACTTGCAGTTTTGATCCCCAGGAAAATCCTCATTGCAGTGGCATTCTGGTCCAAGAGAGCTATAACCCCACGACCCTGATAAGGAAGAGCTTAGAGAATGGATCACTTGCAAAGCTTGCTGTACTTCCCAGTCCTCAAGGAGAACTGTGGGTGAGGCAAAGAGGAGATATGACAGACATTCAACGGAGGTGGAAGGAGAAGGAGGGGAGCCCCCTTTACCTTGGGATAAGAGCTTTGGCCTTAAAGCAGAGAAAGGGAGATCATCAGAGCTTCGAAGGTGATGCTCACATCGAAGGCTCTACCCATCTCCTGTTAGTCGCCTCCTAAGGGTCTCTCTGAGTCCCCAGTTTTCCCAGATACCGACTCCCTCCCAGTTTTCCTGTCTTCCCAGTATATCTTGCTCTCCAGTTCTGTTTGGAGAGCAAGCTCCCTCTAGCTTTCTCACCTCTCCTACAGGCGTCGTTTGTACTATCAGCTGAGTGACAGGAGCTTCAGACAGAGCTTCAAATGAAAGCCACAGTCGGCCTTTCACTCAGCAAATACTTTGAGCACCCACTGTGCATCAGGCACTGTTCCAAGAACTGAAAACATTCTGGAGGATAAAAACCAATGAAAAATAGTCAGAGACATGAAGAGACTGTTATCCAGTCTCCCAGCCATCCCTGTCTTTTCAGAGAACAGTTCTGTGGGTGGGGGATTTGAGCATCCTTCTCATCCAAGGGTGGTCCCATCTGGGCCCAGTAAATCTTCTCAGGAGGTTGGCACTCCCTCCCTCTGAAAGTCGTGTTTGGGGAACATTTATCCTTGAGCCTGAGTTTAGAATCTAGTTGCTGTACTTTTTTCAGGGCTGGGTGTTTCTTATTTTCCTCCCATGTGAAAGTGATTAGACTTTTCTTCCATCTGGGGGTGTCCTCCCACTTCTGACCCCAAACGCTCAGGAAATTACAAAGCAAGTTTCCAACGGACACTTTTGCCAGAGCCAGGCAGGTTTCCACATCTGCCAACTCACGCTCCCTTCATCTTGCAAGCCTGACATGCCAGGAAGGAGGAGAGTGGGAGCCGAGTGGCCTCCTTGACTTTAGGGCTGAGGAGGGGCAGAAGCAAGATTGGCTTTCCTTACCTGATGAGGCACCTAGCAACATGTTAGTATTTCGAATGGAATTTGTGTGTGTGTGTGTGTGTGTGTGTGTGTGTGTGTGTGTGTGTGTGTGTGTGTGTGTTGGTGACAGAGGCAGTCAGGCATGTTTGAAAGAGAAACGGGTTTGCTTAGAAATGCATGGTCTCCACTGTAATTTTTGGAATCTACGTGCGGACAAATGGTAGAGATGACAGACTGCAGAGACCTTGGTCCTCCTCCATCCAAGAGCTGTGTATTGGATGCAACTGAAACCACAACCCTTGCTTCTAATCCGTTTCTGCTTGAGGGTATCAAGGAAAACTTGGGAGACTGTAGATCAAAAGAGCCTGCTCCAGTTTATCCAGACTTGGAGAAAACTCATCTTTCAGACCAGTATTGCATAATTGCACATCCTGTCCAAACATGCTCACTATGGCTGGGTCGTTTAACAGAGCATGACTGTTTTTCTGGAAGGAGCAGATTACTGTAAAAGAAAGGACAGTGGATAGATCCAAGACCCGGGGAGAATGAAAGGTCCTTCACCTGTGCGGTGATGGGTAATTTGCTTCTGATCTTGGGGACTTGTCTTCTGTGGTACAAACTGGAGTTTGTCATGCACTAGTTTCTCTCTGCTTCCTGGTCCCCTGAGATGTGAGGAGTGCCAGCCATACATTCCTGAAGCCAAGAACTCCACCATACCTTCTCTGCCATGGTGGACTGTACACTTAAAACTATGAGCCGAAATAAGTCCTTCCTCCCCTAAGTTCTGTTAGGTTCTGCCACAGTGAACAGGGCTGTAGCTAAGATATTGTTTGGGGGAAGATGCTAAGATGAGGTTTTTCTATAAATCCAAACCCAAACACACTTCCCAGAAGTTTCCACCATCAGTTCTACGTGTCACCAGTATGGAACCAAAAAATCAGTATGTCACATGATACATGAGATTTTAAAACAACTGCATGTCCCCAACTGGGTCCATCCTTCTTAAAGACAGTTGTTCCCTCCTCTCATGATCATGGCCCTATGTGACAGATGAAGTTTTGTTTTCCTCAACCATCTTTACCATATTCCACTAAAGAGCCGCATTGGCTCAGGTACCTCCTGCAGCCCAACCCTGGAGTT